CTGAAAAGGAATGACATCACATTCATTGTCAAAAAGAACATTTCAAGAGCTATCCTGAAGTACCATGCTGTCAGTGATAGGATAATATCCATACGCCCATAAGGAAGTCCAGTTAATACGACTATTGTTCAAATTTATGCACCAACCACTAATGCCAAAGATGAGGAAATTGAAAATTTTTACCAACTTCTGCAGTCTGAAATTGATCAAACAATGCATCAAGATGCATTGATAATTACTGGTGATTGGAATGTGAAAGTTGGAAACGAAGAAGGAACAGTAGTTGGAAAATATGACCTTGGTGATAGAAACGATGCCAGAGATCACATGATAGAATTTTGCAGAGCCAATGACTTCTTCATTGCAAATACCTTTTCTTCACCAACATAAAAGGCAACTACACACGTGGACTTTGCCAGATGGAATACACAGGAATCAGACTGACTACATCTGTGGAAAGAGACAATGGAAAAGCTCAGTATCATCAGTTAGAAGAAGGCCAAGGACTGACTGCGGAACAGACCATAAATTGCTCATATGCAAGTTCAAGTTGAAGCTGAAGAAAATTAGAACAAGCCCCTGAGAGCCAAAATACAACCCTGAATTTAGAGACCATCTCAAGAATAGATTTGACTCATTAAACACTAATGATCAGAGATCAGACAAGTTGCAGAATGACATCAAGGACATTATACATGAAGAAAGCAAGAGGTCATTAAAAAGTCAGGAAAGAAAAAGACCAAAATGGATGTCAGAAGAGACTCTGTAAGTTGCTCTTGAATGTAGAGTAGCTAAAATGAAAGGAAAAAATGAAGTAAAAGAGCTGAACAGACTATTTCAAAGGGTGGCTTGAGAAGATGAAGTAAAGTATTATAATGAAATGTGTAAAGACCTAGAGTTAGGAAACCAAAAGGGCAGAACATGCTTGGGATTTCTCAACCTGAAAGAACTGAAGAGAAAATTCAAGCCTTGAGTTGCAATACTGAAGGATTCTACGGGGAAAATGTTAAATGACACAGGAAGCATCAAAGAAGATGGAAGGAATACACAGAGTCGCTGTACCAAAAAGAACTGGTTGACATTCAACCATTTCAGAAGGAAGCATATGATCAAGAACTGATGGTAGTGAAGGAGTAAGTCCAAGCTGTACTGAAGGCATTGGTGAAAAACAAGTCTCCAGGAATTGATGGAATACCAATCGAGATGTTTCAAAAAACAGATACAGCACTGGAAACACTCGTCTGTGGCCAACCGACTGGAAGACATCCATATTTGAGACTTCTGCAGGCTTGAGTCCCAAGATCTGTAGGTCAGGTGACGGGAAGAGTGCAGAGTGGAGACAGACAGCAGGTTCTACTAGCCTACCTATTTCTAGTCTGGAGGCAGACTACATCCTAAGCAACTCCCCCTTTCAGTTGCTTGACTGATTATATTACAAAAGATGATTACATACATTTCGTTAGATTACATTATGGAACAGCAAGTAGTCTAATGTTTGGCTAAACCAGTAGGACCATAGCCTAGCCAAGTTGACAGATAAAATGAGGCAGAGTAAAGATTTATCATCTTCTTGTCTAAGTAATTGGTGAATTTTCAGTTGCATCAAGAAAACCATTGTTCAAACATCTTCTGTGGATGAACTTTCCAGGACTAATTCTGGCTGCTTAATGTGCACACCCTTTCCATTAGTTAATAACTGGAAAAGAACTGATGCAAGACTTTTCTCTCTAAATCTGTGGTTCTCCACTAGGGGCAATTTTGCCCCCCTGGGGACCTTTGGCAATGTCTGGAGACATTTTTGGTGGTTACAACTGGGGAAGGGTGTGTTACTGGCATCTAGTGGGTAGAGGCCAGTGATGTGTTAAGCATCCTACAATGCACAGGGCAGCCCCCAAAAATAAAGAACTATCTGGTCCCAAATAGCAACAGTGCTGCTGTTGAGAAACTGCTCTAAATGCTTGGAAAAAGATGAGTTTTAGCTTCATCTGTGACCAGTACTCATCAAGTCATTTCTCATATCACTCCTGGATTTTACTTTTATGACTCATCTTCTGATCTTCCTACAAATCATCTATAAAAACAGATTAAGACTAACAACGGCATTTACTGAGTTCTTACTATGTGCCAGATCCTGGGATAAGGATTTTGCCTATATTATATCACTATTGTTCCCATTTTCAGAAGAGGAAACTGAAGCTCAGAGTCATTAAGTATGTTGCACATGTATATAAATCTTATAATCACAGAGGCGAGAATCAACCCTGTTATCTAACTCCAAAGAGTTTGTTCAATTCATTGAGCAATTGCTTTGTACCCCAAATCCTATTGTTCATTATGGGAATGTTTTATCTCTGACAAACGTATCTGTCAAACAAATATAACTTTGTAATTATGGTCATCCATCACTTAGAGTAAACTTGATACATGGATTTTTAAAATGTATTGAATTAATCAAAGAGGGGAAAATCAATCTATTTTACATATTTTAGTCTCAAAGTTAAGCAATATTCTTTATTTTTGAAATATCCAGACCAACACATATTATGCTTTAAATGATGGAAGCAAGTAAAATTGCAAGGAAGCTGGCTTTATCACTTACTTGAGAAACCCATATTAAAAAAGGCGGGGGGGGGGGAATAGCAACAACTGTAACATTTCCAACAGCAGGCTGCATTTTTATGTTCATGTGACTGTCTCCTCCATTGTCCTGTGTGTTCATTTTCTATTGCTGTGCAACAAATTAATACAAATTTAGCAGCTGGAAACAACATCCATTCATTAGCTCACCGTTCTGTAAATCAGAAGTCTGGGCACTGGGTCTTCCAAGGCTGAAATCATGGTGTCAGTCAGACTGAGTTCTCATCTAGAGGCTTTGAGGAAAAACCTACTTTCAAGATCATTCAGGTTGTTGGCAGAATTCAGTTCCTTGCAATTGTAGGACTGAAGCTTCTATTTCCCTCCTGCCAGTTGGCTGGGAATTGTGCTCAGCTTCTAGAGGCTGCTCTCTGGTCCTTGCCACGTGGGCCCCTCCATCTCCAAAGCCAGCAGTGGAGAACCACTCATGGTTTGAATCTCTCTCCAGGAACCACCGAGTCCCTTTTAAGGACTCACATGATTAGGTCTGGCCCACCAGGACAATCTCCCTATTTTAAGGTCAACTTATTTTGGACCTTAATTATATCTGAAAAAATCCTTCGCACATCACCAAGATTAGTATTTGAGTAACTGGGAGAACGTGTGTGTATACCAGTAAAAAGGGATCTTGGAGGCCGTCTTAGAATTCTGCCTAGTTGATAGTCTATAATTCTTCAGTGGCAAAAAGTGTATCTTTGCCTGGTACACAATAGATGTTCCACAAATGCTCACTGAACTGAATTGTTCTAAAGGAATATGGGAAATTCTGACATTAAGAAATTGTTTTTTTTAAAAAAAAAAAAGTCATGGAGTCGATTCCAACTCATAGCGACCCTATGTGTGTCAGAGTAGAAATGTGCTCCATAGGGTTTTCAATGGCTGATATTTCAGAAGTAGATCTCCTGGACTTTCTTCTAAGGCACCTTTGGTGGATTTGAACCTCCATCCTTCGGGTTAGCAGCTGAGTGGGTTAACTGCTTGAACCACCCAGGGCCTCCCAAGAAACTGTTACACAGGAGCATAAACTTCTAGGTATGAACAATTCTCAGCAGGAAAAAGATTCACTTAAGAAGCAATGCCCAAGATGCCTCTGGGCTAATCACTACTACCCTAACCTCTTTTTTACCAAAGATTAAGTGGAGTTTCTGTTTTGACTATGGGAATGCAGCTTTCATTAAGGGAAGTCAAAGGAAAAATAATTCCTATCCCAGAAATCTGAAAACAGACAAGTTTCCGGAATCACATCTATTCCATTGAGTAAAGAGTATGTGCAATCGGTTCTACGTGTCATAAGCTTCTGTTGGCTAACGTGCCAGCTCTGGGAGGGTGGGGTCACATATTACTCATATTTATATCCCTAGGGCTAGAACGGTGCCTGGTTCGGAGGACACGCTTTAAAAATAAAAGCTGATTGAATGTTTGTACAATGAATGTTATTTAACGTGTCTCTGCTGGTAGTCATTCAAGTCCTGCGAGCAAGGACTCTAACGCATTTTCTACAATCAAGTAATGCCTGTCCGTACCAGGCAACCAGAGAGCATTAAACAGGTGGAATCGTTAGGCCACGCACTTAGGTTTTACAACGTACTTTCTCCTCTTCCAAACTAGCAGTTGATCATTTTAAGCTATGCAACATGAACTGAAGATGAATATTAAAGCTAGTGTTATGAGGCTTATTTCTAAGAAACACTCAGCTTTATGTTAATGGAAAGAAATTATTCTTCCATCTTCCTTTCCAAATAGACACACCTACCGGTATCTAGTAAACGTATTGAGGGGAAACTGATATTTCTTTACATCAATCCAAGAACAGAGCTATGATTTCTGGAAAAAGAAAAGCTCAATTTCCCTTAGATTTCCTGAGCTCCTCCATTGCTAGCCTCAAACAAAGTAGAAGTGATCTGCAATTCTGTGGGCGCCCACTGCACTTAAATCACATTCGGGAAAAATGCTTACCCCTACCTTCTAGCTCTAGATAAATGCTCCTAGGGAACTAGGCGCTCTTCCCACTTCACCGCAACCTGGAGAAGCAAGCGGTGCGCCGCCAAAATCTGGCTGCCGCCGTGACGTCACCGGGCTCACAGCCGCGGCGCAGGGCCCGGGCTCCAGCGATTGGGTGGGGGCTATGACGTCACGGTCCAGGGCGGCTCTGCGCTCGCGAGGGCCCTGGGAACGTTCCGGCGCACAGAAAGCAAAGTGGGAGGGGGAGCTGGGAGAGAAGTGAGAAGCTCGAGGAGGTGCTGGCAGCCTCCTCTCGCCGCGCCCCGCGCCCGCCGCCAGCTGGTGCCTGTCCCGGCCGCGCCAACCTCCCGGGCGGCCCAAGGGGGCGGGCGGGGAGGCGGGGCGGAGGAGGAGCCGCGGCCAAGGCGCTGCATCTTCCCTGCCGCCGCCCGCCGCCCGGCTGCACCCAGCATGTAAACAGTCCCCAACGGGAGGTGCCCAGGGACCGGGAGGGAGAGGAGCTGCCCGGCCCGAGGCTGCGCCCGGCCCGCTGCCCGCCTGGAGAGCCAGCGCCGCCCGCGCCCGGGAGGAGGGCGCTGGAGCAGGAAGGGAGGGAGAGGGGCGGAGGGAGGGAGGCAGGCAGCGAGCGCGGAGCTGAGGCAGCGCGGGCGCGGCGGCGAGGATGGATTTCCAGCAGCTGGCTGACGTTGCGGATAAATGGTGCTCCAACACACCCTTCGATCTTATCGCCACCGAGGAGACCGAGCGCAGGATGGATTTCTACGCTGACCCTGGCGTCTCCTTCTACGTGCTGTGTCCGGACAACGGCTGCGGGGACAATTTTGTGAGTGCCGGGTGGAGGGACCGCTGGAGCCGGCGGGAGTGGGGACGCTCCGGTGCGCCGCGGCGGCTGTTCTGCGCCCGAGCTCCCGCGCGGTGGGGAGGTTGTGTAGCACCAGGTGGGGGGCGGGGGGCGTAACCGGCTCGACGCCGCGCACTCTGCTTCTCGCTCTACCAGGGAGGCCCTGGGTGGGGCCGGGTGGGCGGCGGGCAGGGGCGCGGCGTGAGGAGGCGCGCGGGGCGCCCTTTAGGGCTGCGGAGCTGGGCTGGGACGGGAGGCGTAGCGTCTCCTGGAGCGTATCCCCTTTCCCCGCGGCCGCTCTTTCGGTAACGCGCCCCCGCGGCGAGTGCTCCGAGCATCCCGGGGATGTCCCCGCGTCGCATCCACCGGGGCCGGGGCGCACGGCCCCTTCCGCAGCATTCGGAGTCCAGAGCTTCCAACACCGGGCGTCCCGTCCGGCACAGGGAATCCAGTTCCCCTCCCAACGCGCAGACACAACTCCCCGAATTTCCCCGCGCGGGAGACACTCCCCGCCCCCACCACACACACACCCAGTGTTATTGCCAGCGCTGCGTGTTCGGACACAAAGCCTCTATCCACACTAGCGATGCCCGATCTCCTGGACCTTCTTTGCGGAATTACACCCCGGATCTTAAAACCCCACGCGCGCGTGCGCACACATCTCAACACGCACACACAACACACGCACACACACACACACACATAGACACACATACACAGGCACGCCTACCCACCTCCCCCCTCCGCGATTCCACCGCTCTGTGTGTGTGACCCAGGCGGGTTCGGTTTTTCCGAATGAGGGGGAATTCCCTCACCCCCTATCCACCCTGGGCTGGGAGGGACCGGGACCTTGAACTGCAGCGTCCACACCTTCGACTTTGCTTTCTGCGCCTACTTGGGATCTTGGCGCTGGCACTTTAGGAAGGGGATGCGGAAGGCAAGGGAGTTGGCGTGGGAGACCCTTCCTCAAGTGCTTCTAAGGACATGGGAAAATAATGGTCCCCAAATGTAAGATGGAGACGGCCGTGGGCTCGGGTTACCGTGTGGTCGCCGGCCTGAGCCTGGCGTTGCTGCTGCCCCTGCGGACGCGGGTGGGCGGCGTGGAGGCGCGGCCTCTGCGCTGACTCCTCAGGTGGGGGTGAGACAAAGCCGGGCCGTGGTCGCCGCCATCGCGCGCCCCCCATTACCCACTGGAAGTTCGCGAACGAGTTAGCATGCAAGATCGCTTTTCTTGATCCTGGAGAGGTGAAGGCTTGTGTATGACTGGGCATAAAGCATTCATCTCCCACCCACCACCCATCCCTCGAGGGGAAGAACCTATCTGGGCCTCAGCCTAGACACTGGAAGAGGAATGATTGACAGCCAGATCTGAGTTCTGGCTGTGTGACTCTGGGCAAATGCCTTCCCCAGAGTTCAGTTTCCACATCCAAAAAATGGATGTAAGAATACTAGCGCCCAGGTAATCAGGTTGATAAGGCATCTAACAGTCTAGGACAGCAAAACTTAAAAAAAAAAAACCTAACTAAAACCTTTGCCCTATAACTTATTCAGACTCACGGTGACCCCATTACAGAGTAGAACTGCTCCATAGGGTTTTCAAAGAAGTGACTCCAAGGAGAATACTGTAGGTGGACAGAGGAAAACATGAGGCTGTTCTCTTGCCTTAAATATGTATGTCAATCCATCATTCTTAAACATTATTTATGTTAAGCATTTTTGAGGCCACCAATAGTATATTTTAAATATTTTCCAAGCAATGAGTAAAATGCTTGAAAGTATTCATTTGCTCGGAATTAAATGAAACAGATAAGGAAGATAGAAGATGGAGGAGGAAATAATTCCTTGGGTAGACTGGAACTTTCTCAAACTTTCTGGAGACCATAGTGGACGAAATGCCAACCATGGGACTCTTAGCTCAACCCTCTCCTCAAACCTGTCCCAGGCTGTGATGGTGGAGCTGTTGTTAGCCTCTAGTTAAGGAACTCTGGATGAAGCAAATGTCCTACCTCTCTCTGTGCTTTTCTTTTTTCCAGGAAAATCTGTCAAGCTTCCAAAGATTTGAGATGAAGGGAATCCCTGCTATTTGAAAGATTTGTTAACAATAAGAACATTTATGTAGCATTTCTCAATTTGCATAGTGTTTTCACATCATTCATTCATTCAGCAAACATGTATTAACGGCTTGCTCAGTGCCAGGCCAGGGCTTTCTAGAATACAAGTAGGGTCTTCGCCCTCCTCCTCTTAGAGCCATTTTATCCATCAAAGAGGCAGTGTAATAAGTAGTTAGGAGCATGGGCTCTGGGGTCAGACTACTTGACTTTGCACCCTAGCACCCATTCTAACTGTGTGCTTTTGGGAAGTTATTTAATCTTTCTATGTCATGGTTTCCGCATCTGTAAAATGGGGATGACAATATTAGTGCCTCCCTGCAGGGTTGTTTGAGAACAGTGCCTAGCTTGTACTAAGTGCTCAAAAAAAATGTTAGCCGTGTTATTGTAATTATCTCTCTAAATACATATCTAGTAACTCACGTCAGAAATCTAGATGATATCCTTGACTTCACTCTTTACTGCTTCTTGCATCCAATTCAAAATTCTGCCAATGTTACCTGCAAATTATATCCAATATCCATCTATTTTCCTTAACCCCGGTGCTGTCAGACTGGCCTAAACCACTGGCACTTTTCATCTTACCTCCTATCTTGTCTGTCTCTTTGCTTATAATCTCCCCTACCCTCACCTCCTGCAACCCGAAACCCATCCCCACACAACACTCACTCTGGATCTGTTTAAAATATAATCTAGGTCATGTCACCACCCTGCTCCACCTTGTCTGAACTGACTTCACGTTACTTTTACAATAAAACCTAAACCCTTGCCCTGGCCTCAAGTGCCCCCCACCCCACTACGTGAACTGTCTCCTGCCACCCCTCTGGCTTCATCTTGGAACTTTCTTCCTGCTACATTGGCCTTTCTGGTCCTTAGACATGCCAAGGTCATTGCTGTCTCAGGGCTTTTACACTTACTGTTCCCTTTGCCTAGAACACTCTTCCCACAGATCTTCACATGGTAACTCAGACCTGAGAGAAGCCTTCCTGACCACACACTCCCTTACTTCACCCTCTTTTATTCTTATTGTAGTGCTCGTTAGTACTTGCTATTGGTTATTTTCTACCTTACCCACTAGCCTATGATCTCCATGAGAACAGGGACCTTATTCATCTGTCTTATTCATCACTGTATCCCAGTGCCTGTAACAGTGTTAGAATGTGATAGTGCTCAGTACAGGTTTGTAAGAGAGAATAAATTACAGACTAGTGTAGGAGATGTGTTAAATTTCAAGAATAATAGCTGCAAAGGATAATAATATAACCATTACTTATGTGCAGCTTACTGTGTATCAGACACTCTTCTAAGCACTTTGCATATGGGAGTTCATTTAATCTTAGTGGTAATCTCACAAGGAATGCTGTATAATTATCCCCATTTTACAGATGAAGGAAGAGAGGCACAGTGAGCACAGTTAATGTAAAGCGACTTGAGCCATAGCCCTATACTGAGTACATAGTATCACAGGAGAGATGTCAGGGGACCAAGGTAGTCTGTGGGCTCAAGGGCAGCTTCTTATTGGGCCTCACAAAAATTCTTTGAGGTAGGCATTATTATCTCCATTTTTTCTGTGAGGTATAGGTGAGGAAACAGGCTCAGTGAGTATTCAGAGACTCATCCAGTACTGCACCACCAAAAGGTGACTGAGCCAGGACTTGATCTATCTATCTACTGAGCCAGGCCTCAGATCTATCCTTTCCACCATGCAGAATGCCCCACAGGCAGGATCAGGTCGATAGGTCCAGAGGCTCAGAAACAAGGACTTCTTTTTACTTTTCCTCCACTTTGGCGGTTCCTGAGTCCCATGAGCAGTCTTTCCCTTTCTCACTTCACAGGCAACCCCGTCCATACCATCCCTTTCCAAGCTCCTGCCCTAACTCTGGCGCCTCTCCGTACAGCCCACATTCGTAGGACAAAGTGAGGCTCCGAGTGCCCTGTCTGTGGTGAGAGTTCAGGGGCAGAGCTATACTTGCCTACAAGTATGACAGGGTGGGCTCCACCGCCCTCTGGGGCCAGACAGTAGGGGGCCATGAACTCACAGGCAGGCTGGCTCTTTCCACTCTTCTGCCAGTTGGAGGTCTTGAAGGCTCTGTTAGTTTGGGGAGTGGGGTGCTGGCAGCCACTCACATGCTAGATGGACAGCAGAGGAGTGTGCGTGTATGTGTGTGCATGTGCACACGCAGGCGCATGCACTTGCTCTCGGGCACAGGAGCACCAGCTGCTGTCCTTTCTTGTCACAGGTCAGGAGAAACAAAGAGCACGGCCCTGTCACTTAGTGGTGCCTGGGCGCTAATGATTGGGGGAGGAGGGGCTCATCTGTTGTCACACTTTTTCTGCCAACCCTTGAAAAACTTCTTTGGATCTGAAAATTTTTTATAATCACTCTTCAATACAAAAAAGATAGCAGTTGCCATGGTTAAGAAAACAGTTTTTACTTATGGAAGGACTATGTGATGTAATGTGTGTGTGTTTCCATATCTGTAGTCTAGGCATGTCTCTGTTCTTAACTGTGTGACCAAATGACAACCTTTTTCGTTTTGGAAAAAGTAAATATAACCTGTTTAAATGAGGTCAAGTCATTTTTATTGGTGGTAGAGTAGAGGGGAAGCACTTTCTTAATCTGATTTAAACTCCTCAGTTTCCTCATCTGTCAAATGGGCATAATTATACTTATTATTATGAGGATTAAATGAGGAATAGTGTATGTGGATGTGCTTGGTAAACTGTAAAGCTTTCCACAATGGCTGTGCATTATTCATATAGAGATTATTTCAGGGAAAAAGAAAAGGCTTTTGTAGATTCATGAAATCCTGAAGAGAGTAAAGTTATGCTAAGTGAGAGGCAGCCTACAGGTAATCTCCTGTAATCTTTATA